GCTGAAGCCTGTCTTCCCGCAGTACCCGGTTGCTGCCCATCTTCAGAAAAGTCTGGTTGTGTTACCGGCAGGGATGATCTTGCCAAGATGACCTACTTGACCCTGTGCATCAAGGAGAGCCTCCGCCTCTACCCGCCTGTGCCTCAGGTGTCCCGCCAGCTCAGCAAGCCTGTCACATTTGTGGATGGCCGCTCTCTACCTGCAGGTGGGAGAGGGTGCATTTGGGGCTGGAACTGGAGTCTTTGAGGATGTTTCTCTGACACTCTCTGTGCCTTTGGCTGAGTCTTTGCGTCCATGGCAAAGAACTCATGCTTGGTGCTGGCCTGAGTCCAATCCTGGCTCTATAACATGGGTAAACCCCTTTACCGCTAAATTCTTTTTCTTCTTTAAAATGGGTCTGAGGAAAGACCTGCCTTACAAGGTTGCTTCCTGGAGTAAATTATCAGGGATATCATGTATCACCATGCAAGTTGTTCCCTGAACAACTTCAGGAAGCATCATTCACATAGACTATGATGTGTGCAGTGCTAACCTGTGCAACTCCATGAGGGAGCTTCATAAAGAAAGTTCAACTCCATATCTGGCACATGGTCCACATGCAATGACAGGTAGCTGTCACTATTGATAGCATAATGCTATGAATAACTTCTTTTAACAGTCAATTCACTGAGAGCCAAAAGCGTGTAATGGTCCTTGTGTGTCCCGCCTTGTGGTGGGTGTGAGTTCAGTCCCTTTTTGTTCCATTCCACAAATGTCTGTGTCTGATGCTGTGCCCAGTGCTGACCTATAGGAAGTAGGCATGATGATAAGCAAAAGCACTTGATGTGTTGAGAGTTGTCATGAACCTTCTGTCACTAGCTGTGCTAAAGCAGAGGCTGGTGTCCAGTTAGGCAGACATGACGGGACCCGGGCCTTGTAAGGAGGTGGGCCTGGCTTCCCAGGACCACCTGGCCACCTTCGCCCTGCTCTGCCCATAGGAAGCCTGGTCTCTTTGCACATCTATGCCCTCCATAGGAACAGCGCAGTGTGGCCTGACCCTGAGGTATCCCATTCCTGAGGTTGGAGGTCAGAGGGGGAGGGAGGCTGTGGGGAGTCAGCCTCCCTTTGTACCTGGTGTGTATTTAAGCCTGGCCTGTCCCCTCAGGTCTTTGACCCCTTGCGCTTTTCCCCTGAGAATGTGGCAGGACGCCACCCCTTTGCCTTCATACCCTTCTCTGCTGGGCCCAGGTAAGGAGAAGCCCCACATGTCCAGTCCCTCAGGACTGAGGAAGTGGGGTGGAGGATGTCTTGGGGGAGGCATCACTTTGGGAAACTGTGTGATGAGGGGGGCCATGCTGGGTTGTGCTGATTCTAACACAGGGTAAGTTCCAAGGACTTTCTTCTTGCCATTAGCATATTCATGTTGCTAGCAGGGGGAGGGGTGGCTGAGTCATTGCAAGAGAGACCCCAAGCCAGAATCCTCAATGGGAATCTACTTACCAGTAGTCTGGGACCCTACCTTATGATCTGTTTCTAAAGCCCAGGTCAATCAATCCATCAGTCAATCAGTCATGCAAAAATAGTTATTGATTTCTGTTGGCCACTGAGAGCACTGGATTTCACCACTTCAGAACCCCATTCCTGATGCCTCTTTGTGTTGCTCACTGCAGGAACTGCATCGGGCAGCAGTTTGCCATGAACGAGATGAAGGTGGTCACAGCCCTCTGCTTGCTCCGTTTTGAGTTTGCCCTGGACCCTTTGCGGCCACCCATCAAGAAGCCACAGATAGTCCTGCGCTCCCAGAATGGCATCTACCTTCACCTGAGGCCACTGTGCCCAGGTTCTGGGAAGTAGCTCTGCCAAGAGTAGGGCCCCAGACAGCCCAGGCTGTGGCCTTTCCCTGGGAACTGCCCCCTCCAGGCTCGGTTGTGGAGCAGCTGTGGCTCCCTGTCCTTGGGGGGCTTGTACTGTAGAGGGGGAGCTGGTATCCCCTAGACAGTCACCCTGAGGATGGTGCCAGAAACCAGGTGTGTCTATGAATGCTTACTGTGCCTGTTTCCTGGAGCTGACCCATTCACTCAGCAAACATGTGGTGAGAACCCACTTGCTTCTAGTCTCTTCCTTTTTTTTTTTTTGTAATAGGCAATCTTTCTAAAATGCAGCAGGAAGTTACATTCCAGTCTGGGTGATACAGTGAACACAATGGAAGCTCTGCCCTGGGATTCCTGGTTATGACCAGGCACTCCCCCAGTCCACGTGACAGAGGGTTGGCTTTGGGGCTTGGCCGTTCACAGAGATGGGTGTCTGTGTTTAACTTTGCATATGTGTTTGGAAAGTAGCATAAGGAATATTTGCCTAAAGCAAAAGTGTTCAGAACAATGAATTTCTAAAGCACACACCCAGGTAACCACTGTCAAGGTAAAGCAATATGGAATATGAACTCACAGGTATTTTTCTACCCTCCCGAGATGGGACTCTGTGTCACTACTACCACTCTCCATCTCTGTGTCAGAGTCACCCGGTGCCCTGGGTGTATGCGCTTTGGCTGGTGAAGGTGGCAGAATGACACTAGACAGCACCTTTAGGGGAGGGTGGTGCCTGAATCAGGCCTTGAGGCAGGGTGTGGTATGAGGTGCAAAGAAGGAGTTTGGGGGTGAACTTCATTTTAGGCCCACATGATGAATCAGGGGTCCTTCCCTGGTTGTCTCCGCAGCATTTCTTTGGTGGGTACATGTACCAGTAGGGTTCAAGGTCTGTGGGAGGAACTGCGTCCTGCAGAGTCCTCCAGTCCACCACAGGCAGTGACTACATTGTGCTGGACACAATCTTGCTTTTCTGGTGGGAAAATGGGCAGCAATTCCCTCTAGTGGGGAATGCTCCTAGCCCTTCTCCCAAATGGCTTTATTGGGAATTGTATACAGCATACATGGATAGCTCATAAATCAATGTCAAAAGGCTATAGCCAAAAAAATGGGTATTATCTATAGATAAAGACAGAAGGAACAGAGATCTGTCATAGGTCAGGGTCTACTAGTCATGCTGATGACAGAGGGTCTTTTTAAAAAAATTAATTGATTGATTACTTAATGATTCAAATTTTTGTTGTTTAAATATGGTTTTCTGCTTTTCCCCTGCCAGCCCACCACACCCAGAGGGTCTTTAGGAAGTATTTCATGAGATAAGGAGTTTACTGCTTATGCCTTGAACTTAAACATCTAGTTTGCATCTACAGGGCTATATGAAACAGAATAAGCCTCATAGGATACAATGTATTTATCAGGCCTGAACCCACAGGGACCTTTGGTGTCAGAGTCATGTTGTGTGTGCCACCTGCATTTTTACCTGGTTTTCCAGGGAGACTTACTAGCTCCTTTCAGGGTTTGCTCTCCCATGCGTGCAGTCTTGGAAACCACATAGAGGGGTCCCCAACAAAGGTCTAAGGCCATTAGTGAACTGCAATCCAGGAATGAGACAGGTATGGAGAGAGGGCACCTGACACCAAGGGAGGGACAAAAGAGGAGAATTCAGGCCGGGGACATGGGGACCTTTCTATGTTGCTCTGAGGAGGGACCACCTGCAGACACGTTCTTCCTATTGATTCCACAGCCCTGGAAGCTGGGCCCTGAGCCCCTGCTCACTCTTGCAAAGTCCTGTTAAGACCTACAACTCACTGTGCACCTAAGTCTGGGATTCGGAAACCTTAGTCAGAGTGTTCACCATGCCAGCATCATTCTCCTGTGTCCTGGCCCCGGACAGACCTCTCTCTACACAACTGAAGAAAATGGTTCAACAGCTCTTAGCTGGGAACTGGGTCCAGTGGTCACAACTAAGTTTAGTCCATGGGTGGTGCCCCCAAGTCTCTTTTTTGGACTGTCAGGAGGCCTGTGAGTCAGGATTGGATGAGGCCATCATCCCTCTTCAATATTAAGGGAAGGAACCTGCCAAGATGGTCATCAGGGAGGAGCCTGAGTGAGCTCCTGATTCTGGGCCCTTTTGACCAAGGCTCCACAGGTAGTACTGATTCTGTTTGAAGACTCCTGTTGGTGAGAAACAGAGCTGAGAGCTCTGAGGGAAAGGGGAGGCTCCACGTGGGAGGGGAGGGCAGAGGCTGGGGACCTGAGAGCACCAGAGATGAGTCCACCTCATGCTTCCAGCTCTCTAGCACACCCTGCTGTGTCCTCTGATCCTGAGCTCTGGTGCATGTGTGTGGTACAGTGTGGTGTTGTTACCTGACTGGTGGCGTGGGTCCTTCTGCTCGCTGCCTGTGAGGCAAAACTCTAAACACAGCGATTGGTGGAAAAGAAAGAAATTTTTAATTTAACAATCAAGAAAGGCTATTTAAATATTTGTCACAGCAATACCACATACACACAAGAACAAAAAATAACTCAAGAAGAAGCTATGTATGACTAAAGAAGGAATATTAACTTTGTTCTAAGACACACTACGAAAAATCTTCTGTCACCCTCTGCCAGTTCAGTTTTTGGTTGTGCCAGGAACCTCTTCCCCCATCAGAAAGCATGATAAATGTAGGTGGGTTAGCTGCTGTGTAGTCCCTGTTTCGCTTCAGGCATCTTTTGGAGTGTGTGCACCCAGGTTTCCTACTCCTGGTGTGCCTGTGCTCTTCCTGCCGCCACTGGAAGGGCTTGCACTGGCAACCCTTGCCAGGCACTGGTCACCTCCCCACCCACCTCCCCCCACCACAGGACTGGTGGTGAACCTGAGGCCTGTGATAAGGAGGGGGAGCGAGTTGGTTTGGGAGGCTAGGGGTCTGCCCTTAACAGAACTGTGCTGTGTTGTAATGAGTTTTAAATGTTGAAGCTGAGAGTTCAGGGTCCTGCTCCTAACAGGTAGCACCTCATCCCTTCCCCTTCTACAGCCCCTAAGGTCCAGGTCCAGGACTTCCTACTTTTCCAAGAAGAGGGGATATCAAAGGAGGAGATTGATTTCTGCATCCTGCCCCTTTATAAAGTGAATCTCCTGCAAACAGCTGCATGTAACTCCCTAGTTGCCAGGGGAAAACAAGGGTCTGCAACTCCACCCCTCCTCTGTTTCTGGAGATGGAGTCCTGGTTTCTCCATTTACCTTGTTACAGTGTACAAGGGCACACACAGGAGTAACTGCCCAGGAGTGTGTCTATGTAAGCGTCAGGCATCTGTGTATGTGAACCTGGACTCAGCCTGGGTTTTTCTTATTGCTGGGAGCCAGTAGGGAATCTCCCTGGTCCTTCTCACTGCCTTGGAATGCTGTGGTTAGAGTACGTCAAATGGCTGAACAACTGGCTACTCTAACCTAGGAATGCTGTGGTTAGAGTATGTCAACGTGGCTGACCACCCAGATTTCCAAGTTCCCATTGTCCTGTGCTCTCTGATCATGGTCACTGAGCCCTTCTGCACCACCTCATGTCAGGGGACCTGCCAAACATCCTACTCAGGATGCTCCCAGCTCCCTTTCCTGCTCTATATCTCTGTCAAGCACTTGGTGCTCACCATGCTCCTCCTTAAAGCAGGGCTGAACTACCCCAGTGACCCAGGAGGCCAGGGGACTGGGGTGGGAGATCCTGGCTGCAGGGACAGAGTCAGAGAGAAGCACTTTGGGGAGGCAGAGTCGGTGCCTCCACCACAGGCAGAGGGTGCCTGGAGAGGTCTGTGTATGCATCCAGGGCCCTAGGTTAGGAATGGCTAGGGTTGGACAGGAGGAGAACCAGTGTTTGGAACCAGCAAGAGAACAGGGCTGGGCTGAGACAGGGTGATGGAGGAACACAAAAGGAACAGAGCCCAGAGTCAGAGAACCATGACCCACTTTGTCACCAAATGTGGCAGGGGTGAAGAAGCCCCTCTGCCTTGAAGGCAGCTGAGCAGAGATGTAGGGCCTGTCCTGGGGGAAAGGCATTGCCAGCTGTTTGCTGGCATCCTCTCTGATAGGACACACATGTCTGCCCACCTGGGCTTCCCCAATCCCTCCTGGACAGCTATCCCCTCTCTGGGCTCTGAGGTGATGGGTTTTGGCACCTCAGAGCAGATATTATCTCCCTGCTTAGTCTTGTCTCTCTCCCCAACCCCATCTTTCTTGCTGCTCTCCATCCAGCTCCTCCCAAGGCATGACAGTGTGAGCTGTATTCTGGGAAGGGAGATAGAAGGAGAGGGTATGAGATTGATAAATGGGTGTACAGGAAACACACAGAAGGGAACTGGGAACATGGCTGATGGCAGTCACTAGGGACCCATTAGGCAGAAAGACAGCTCAAAAGATGTCCAGCGTCTAATCCCTACAAGATGTAACTATGTCCTCTTATCTGAGTGAGTCCATGTAGTTACAAGTGTCCTCATAAGAGAGAAGGCAATGTGAAGACAGAAGCAGAAAGGACATCGGAGGTGCTGCTGGATTTGTGTACAGAAGAAGGCTCCAGGAGACAAGGGATGTAATAAGGCAGCTCTAGATGCTGGAATGACCAACACAGGGGTTGTCTCCTTGAGCCCTGTAGGTGGTGTGGCCCGAACAACACCTCGAGGTGATCCTGTGAAACACACTTCAGACTTATGAATCCAGATGCTAAGAGAAGATTTGTGGTGTGTTCTGTCACTGAGGTTACGGTAATTTATTATAGCATGTAAAGGAAACTATACAGGGAAGACAAGCAGGAAGAAAGTGAAAATGGCAGATTGGAGGGGCAGACAGAGGACCAGAGGGGGAGGTGATGGAGAATGGCATGTGAGAAGCAGGACTTCGTTAGAAACCCAGAGGATGGCATCATGTAACAGGGAGACAGGATGGCAGGAAGGAGATCCTCAGAGCTTGCTCTTGTCCCAAAACGGATTAGTGGAGCTTTCTGAGCTGCAGGTGGATTCCATTCTTGGAACTCAGAACAACTTTTGATACTGGGATGGGGACTCTAAATGGATCCACCGCCAGCTCAAAGCGAAGCAGGGTCAATGCCACGGCCACCTTCAGCTCCTTCATGGCAAAATTCTTCCCAATGCAGTTCCTGTGCCAGGGAGGAGAGATGACATGAGAACTGGCCTTAAACCCTGTTTTCAGCTGGGCAGCCATTGGCTGCTGAGTCCTTGCTAAGAAACAGGGCATTTGATGTGACTCAATCCATTCCCCTTTGTTTTTAGGACACGCCCACTTCTATCCCTCTGGTCTTGCTTCACATTCTGTACTTGAACTTTGACAAACCCTATCTCTGTATTAGGCATAGTTTCTAACTCCTACTTCTGTAGGAGGCATGAAATCCTAAGAGGGGAAGGTCATTGCCCTAACCCACCAAGTGAAGTCAAATGAATGATTGAAAAGTTATTAATTTGTTTTCTCCTACCACAACCAGTTTCTAATTTCACAATGAGGGGGCCAGGTCAGGGTGTGATATGGAGTGGGGTGGGTCATACTCTTAGGTCCTCACTATATAGGGGGATGTCAGGATCTTCATCCTCACAGAGAAGGAGAGACAGGTTTGTGTAAGGAAATCCAACTGGCAATGAGGAAGCTGCAGGGGCAACCAGGGATTAGCGACATTCAACCAGTTGCACCACCTGCTTCCCAATCCATGGTCCAGACTCCTGCCACTCTGTTGTCTCTTCAGTCCACCAGCTTCTGTAGCCTTTCTGTCCTACTGCAGAAATGTCCCTCCTTGACATTCATCAGTCCCCACACCTGCACTTCTCTGTCTCCTGAATCCCCTCCCCTGTGCACTGAAGTCCCTTCCATGCCCCCATCATAGGGACAACATGTCCAAGTGCTTCATCTGGCATTAATCCTTCATGGACTGTTGCTTCACTCACCTCTCACTTGTCCAGCTTCACTTCCTAAGTGAGCTCATGTGGTTGAATCACAGACAGGCCCTCCCTCCACCTCTGCCTACCACATGCTCAAGGTTAAGTCCAAGGACATAACCCTCACACCTTCACTGCCTGTACTTCTTCTTACCCAGATGCCCAAGGCACCATTAGTGTTTTATTTGAAGGACACATCACAGTCTAATGCCTAGGATAGTGCAGAAAACAGAACATTCAACACTCTGCTCACTGAGTGAATGAATGAGTGAAGGAAAGAAGGAATGAATGAAGTGTCTTCAGTAGATGGCTTGTTTCTTGACTGGGAACACCTGGGGGCAGGAACAGTGTCTTTCCCATCTCGTGGCACAAGACTTTGTACACAAAGACAGACTTAAGAAAACATGTATACTTGAATGAAGTTAATTGAATTGTAAAAGTAAATTAAAATTGGAAAAAAGATAAAATACAAGTTCTGAACTAGGAATTGAGCTTCCTAGGGCTCGCCTGTCCTCTAGTGGCAGGCATATGACTTGCAGCCATGGTCTAGGAGGAAAAGACTCAATCCTGGGAGAAAGCAAAGGCTAGGGCCAATCAACCCCTGCAAGGATTTGTTTAGAGCCTATTCTGTACAAGTTGATTCAGCATTTGAAGAATTCACAAAAAAGCTTGTTGCTGAGCCAGTACAAAGGTTAAGGACATTACTATATTACAGGAAGTTTTTTTTAGTCTGCAGATTTTCCAACAGCAGCCCTTCTGGGGTGTAATTGTCCAGCTCAACAGCTATTTCAAGGATGCTTTATATTTTACACACCAGGAACCTTTCAAATGTTGTGTGTCATATACCAAATCGTGGGTTTGCTCTCAAAAGAAGTGGTTGTTCTTAGTTTTATGCTTTTTCCTAAACATTGGGAAGTGTAGATGTGGGGGTTCTGGAAATAATCCCATCTGCATAAACAATTCTGTCAACTGGAAAAGCAATCTGGTTATGTGAATGCTAATGTGCAGTTAATCTTTTGTGGGGGCAGATTGCAAAAGCAAGAATGCATACATTGGTGTAAAACACCTCGCTCTGCACCATTTATGAACAGGGCTTGAACCATCAGGAGAGGCAGGTGGCTGGAAATCGAAACACAAGCAAATATTGCAGATAGAGTGAGTGGCATATCAGTGATGTAAGTGAGGCATTGGCTGCCCTGCCCTGTGAGAAGAGAGGGGAAATTCTGTTTTATGTGTACTGGTAGTGAATAAAAGTGAGTGGAAGCTTAATTTTTATGGAAAATTTTACATTTGAGAAGTTGTATTCCTGAAGTGAGAAAGACACCAGAATAACTGAAGTTTAGAAGAACAGCTGACACTGAATTGTGGGTGGGAAATCGGGAAAGGAACTGTTTGAAGAGTTTGAGACCAATACAAGCCTCTCTGTTTTTGCTGCCTATCCCAGCAAAGGCTTTACTGCATAGTAATATTCACATAAGCATAACAGCTTGGTTCAGTTGGAAAGATCCTATGTATGATATGGGATTTATATACCATAGTTCCACTGTCTACATAGTCCAACATTGGCAAAAATCATAAACTTAAGGACAATCAAGTGTTTGGGAGAAAGTCAGTGGGTAAAGTGTGTGTGTGGTGGCCTGATATGTCATGGTTGTTCTGTGCATATAGACGAGTGCCACCTTCACAACACACCAGCATAGAAAGGCATATGTTCGGGCACCACATATGAAAGTAGGAGGTCACAAACTTCGGGGTCCCCATGTGGTGGTGGGGCATCCCCAAGTACATGATGGCTCACCTGGATCCTCCTGAGAAGGGCAGGAAAGCATGGCTGTGTAGATCAGAACCTGGTGCAAAACGGGAAGGGTCAAACACCTGCAGAGAGAGGACCAGGGTCAGGACAGGGAGGGTCAAGCCCCTCCTTCCAATGCAAGAGGGCACAGGACTCTTGGGGCTGGAAAGAGGAGGAGGTGTTGGCCTAGAGAAATCAAGCCAACCTTCCTCCCACAGCCATCCTACCTCTGGATTGGGCCACACCTTCGGATTGTGGTGAAGACCATACAAAAAAAGGGTGATTTTGATTCCTATATGGCAGGGAGAACAAAGAAGACTGATCATACACATGGCAGCAGAAAACCAGTGAGTTCCCCAAAACTTGGGAGCTGTAGTGAGTGTCAGAGTAGAATGATCCTATTGCAATACCAGTGGGTGGATTTGGCAAAGCTCACATGCACACACTAAGAGTACATAACCATGTCCCACGACTGAGAAGCCAGACAGAACTGAAGGCTTACTTTCTGGAGCAACTCAAGATAAATCTCACATTTCTTAGGTGCCCTTAATGGGCCTTTGGGGATTATCTGTTAAATCATTCAGTCTTCATTACATCTCTCCAAGGAGGGCACTCTTGTTCCCATTGTTCAGATAAGGCACCTGAGCTTAGAGAGGCCGAGCACATTGCCTATGGTCATAGTTAGGATGTGTCAGGGTTGGGATTCAGACTAAAGCTGAACCTTGAGGTGGCCTCCACCATGACAGGATCTCAGATCTGATCAACATCTGCTCTCTGCCACCAACATGAGGGATTTTTCTACTGTGTTCTTCAGTTCAGAAATTTTATTCCTCATTTTCTTTTGGCCCTCATTTATAGTTTCTATTTCCTTTTTCATGTTGATATAGTTTGCAGTGAGTTAACTGTAGTTCCCTTGTAGTTTCTGGTAGCTCACTGTGAGCTCTTTGTACTTCCTGATAGCCAGTAGTTGGAATTCAATATCTGATAGCTGGCTTGCCACTATTTCATCTAGCATTCTTTCTGAGGCTTCCTCCTTTCCTTTCATTGGGGGGTTGTTTCTTTGTCTGCCCATTGTTTGTGAGACTCTTCTTGTTAGCTTCAGCTTCTTAAATTGATTTGTCCTGGCTTCTTGGGTTTATGGTGTGAACTTCTGTGGTAGAATACCTATGAGATTTAGTGGTGTGGTCTCCTTGATCTCCAAAGCTCACTGGTCTGGGGCTGTCCTTTTAGTTGGCTCTGTGGTTGTCTTTGGGTTTGGATCATTTGGGGGTCTTTCTATTGTGGGACCTTCCCACCAGTTTGTGAACTGATGGTCACTGTGTCCAACACCTCTTATAGTTTGTTGTGCTGGTGAGGGCAGATTGTGTTGAAGCTAGTGCTTCCTTGTGCACAAGGTTTTCAGGATTTTCTTTTACTCTTGTTCAGTTGTTTATACTGGGTAGTTTCTCCACTATTTAGTTGTATTTCCAGATAGGTCCTGGATTGAGGTTTGTGTGGTTTCCACTTCTTCCTTCATCTTCTTCTGTTGTTATCTGTTGGTGGTTCCTTTGTTTTTGGGTTTCCTCTTCCCTTGGGTATCCTGGTGTTCACCACTTTCACTTACTCTTTTTTTGTGATTTGTTGGAGGGGAGGGCAAACCGGTTTATGACAGCAGGTGAGTATTCTATGATATTTACCGTAGCAGCCAGTAGAGAAGAGGTGAGAGATCCTTTGGCTATGTACATTGTTAACCGTGATTTTCCACCCAACTACCCACTTTTAAGAAGGGATGGAAAGAAGATAAGACTCTTGTTTGTTCAGGAAGGATTGTGAGTTGGATTTAGAAAGCAGTGAGGTTTTGGGAGGTCACATTCTGAGGTAAGGTGAGAGTAAGGTGTAGTAAATAGGTGTAGTGTGTGAGAGAATAGAGTTAACCACTACAGTAACAGAGTTCAGAGAACAATGAAATTGGCTAAGATCTGGTAGGGGTGCTGTGAAGTATTTACAATTGTATGGATCAGTTATTATTTACAATCATATTAGAGCAATAATCATATGACAGAATCTATGTGATCTGGATAACATGAATAGGGGTATAGAACTTTGAGTAGTGTGCTAAAGGAACACAAGTGACATGAAGGACAGTAAATTAGCAATACACTGTGGAAGACTACACCTGCCAAATGATACAATATAACAAGGCAAGCTTAGAAGACTATAGAGAAAGAAGAGGTGTACAAAAATACTATAGAAATAAACGGTGTAAGAATAATGAAAAAATAATACAAATGTTCAGTAGCTTGTAGTTTCTCTGTAATAGCAAAGTGAAATTTGTCTCACTGTCTCAACTTTTGAGATGCCTTCTCTTTGGTCCAACTCTTGTCCTTTCACAGTTCCAAGTATTTTGTCTCACTTGTGGGTATTAGAGAAAAAAAATGCAGGAGAAGTAAGGAAAAAGAGAGAAAATTGGAAAGAAAGGATGGAGGAATGAAATGGGAAAGAAGGAAACAGAGGAAAAAGTTATCAAAAGCTAAACAATAATACAAATTAAAAAAATAAAAGACTAAAAAAACAACCTCTTGTTAGTTTCAAAGTGACCAAACCAGTTTTTCTGGTCTTGCTGGCTTTAGAAGGCTGAGGGGGCGATTGGTGTGGCCTTTCTTTCTTCCCAGGGTGTACTCAGCCAGTCCTGCAAGCAGTCTCCCAAGAGCTTGTCTTGTGCCTCTCCCCAGCACCTTAGGTAGGGAATCCAAGTCTTCTTCAGAGCACTATTTACTGGGGAGTTATTGCTGTGGGCTGGTGTCGGGGTCCAGCCTTGGCAGAGTTCAGGGTTCTGGAAGGATGGATGGCACAGCTGACGAAGGATGAGTCAGACACCCGATTGGATGCCTGAGGACAGCCAGCCTCTGTGGGTCTGACCAAACTCATACAATTTGATTTAGGCTTTATTTTTAGAGAGATTGTTATATAACATTAAAGGAACAGGTGCATGGTGTGATCAGTTAAGCAGAAAAAACCAATAGAGAGGTAACCAGGAAAAGTACAAGAATTTGCATAGTTTCAGTTATGTTAAAGAAAAGTTGTTTTGACCAGGACAGCCATTAATCAGACAATTTGAAATAGCTCTATGTACAGAGTTTGAATGTCTTATTGTTTATTAAAGGTCTTAGAATTTGGCATGGGGCAAAAGGTTCACTAGGCTGAGCAGAGGTTTGGAAATTCATTATAAGGCCTTTGTGATGTCTAACTTAGCTATCTATCTTTCTGTCTAAATGTTTCTTTATCTAATATGGACTCTAACTCCTTGGTACTCTTTTCTATGTGCTTAGTTTGTAGTAGCTAACTGGCTTCTCCTGTCTCTTTGCCTGTCTACTTCTTGTTAATATATATTCCTGTCCAAGGTACAGGAGGGGCTGTTACTCCATCGACTTTTAGATATTCAGGGGCTACTTCACTAGCGAAGAACTTTGTTCTCTGGCCAAGGAATTAGTTTGTACAATTTCATTGGAATTATGCAGATCATTTGACCTGAAAAGCAAGTGTCTAAAAATTTCACCACCTATTAATCTCAACAACAAACATGCAGGGGAGAGATAGACAGGAAATCCAGCCACAGTTGCCTTTGCTGTGCAGATGTATTTCATCTGTCCTGACTGTCTTGGTGGGCTCCTGATAGGCTGGAGTGTGGGTACACATACGTGCCCGAACAGCCAGTCTGCCTCGGTCCCATGGGTTTGGGCAGGAACCCTTCCCAGTGCTATGGGGAAAGGCAGGAACTTCCCTACAATCTCAGAATCACTGCCTGGCTGGGTGGGGAGTAGGTCAAGCAGCTGTCTCAGGGGAATCCCCCAAACAGTTTTATTTTTTAATAAGTTCCTCCTACTCAAGCCTGCCACTCAGTACAGCCCAATTCTCCAGCCAGACCCATGACTATCAGTGTCAGTGAGTGTCACTGCAGGGCTCTCAACTGTCCCAAGCCAGCCACCACAGACTCTGCGATTGTTTGAGGCCCCTGTGTGTTTGCCTCTTTGTTCTTATTCCCCTCTGTGCAACTTCCAGCAACTTCTAACCCTGTTTGGCTGGGGAGGAAGGGAGGGAGGAGTTGACCCTGCTCTCTCCTAAGGACTCTATGGCAATGCTGTGGCTCCCAAACAGTCTGTGGTAGATCCAGCGCTTGGTGAGGAGTGCTGATGGCCGGGTGCCTGGTGCTGGGCACCAGCAGACAGGCCTGGGGCTACAGCCGCATCTCAGTGCTGGTCTCTGGGACCTTCCTGTCTTGGAGGAGTGTCCTTACCTTCTGGTTTTTCAGTGTCCGCTACAGTTTCTGGTCTCTTATTTTCATATATGCTCGGGTACTGTTGGCCGTTTGCTCTGTTCCTCTGTAGGTCAGCCAGGTTTTTCTCCTGTGTGTAGGGGGAAGTGGAATCTGCTCCCTCCTATTCAGTCACCATCTTCCAACTCAACTCTCAAATTTATGCAAATGAAATCTTAGCATGTGATGTTCACAGGCACACTGGCTGGAATGTGTAGTATGTGTTGGAGGTCGAGTGGGGATACCTACAGTACTTGTTTTCTGCCCTTACCTAACAAATACTTTTCTTTTCACTTAAATTATACTCTTGAAGGACATGTTTGTGGGCGACTCTTGGAGACTATTCAGCATTGCAGGTGAGCTAAGATGCCCTAATTGCTTCTCGGGCATTGTCACTTAAAGTATCTTCAGTGTGCACTGAAGGGTTCCCCACACTGCCCCTTTCAGAGGGTGCAACATTGCCCCCTCCACTGCCCTCTCCCATGGGGTCATATCATCTTTCTCCCACTTTGTTTAGTGCTTTCTCGTCTTTATTTCTACAAAAGGTGTTTTTTTTTCAGTTTTTGTATGTTTATTTTGCTTTTCTTTCTTGCTTTCCTTTAGATTAATTGAACATTTCCTCTCATTTCTCAGCTACAAGTTTAAAATTTGTTAAATTATATTCTTAAGTGGCTCCCTAGACATTTTAATATGTATGCTTTACATATCAAAGTTCACAGTTAAAGTAAAATGAAAACTTTCCCATCCTGAATAATTCAAAGTCTTTTGAACACTCTTACCTTCTCCTCCTTCTGTCCGTATATTATTACTATCAATTAGTTTAGTTATATCTCTTTTTTTAAAACATGTCAAAGACCTTATGATTATTATTTTATGCAGCCAATGTTTATTTACATTTGCTCATGTGTCTGCTGCTCTCACTCACTATGGCTACTCAGACCTTCCTTGTGGAATTTACTTTCCTCAGTTGTGAAGTATATTTTTTCAACTTTTCTTCAGGTAGAGTCTGCTGGTGAGAAACTCTCAGTTTTTCCTTGTCTGAAAATGTCTTTATTT